TGCTTGATGACATGCATAGAAGTAAATTTATATTTATATCGTACTACAATTCATAAGAAATAGAATTACATTTAATGTTACATATTTTACAAACATTGGATCGTGAAAATGGAGTAAATATGTACATAAAACGAAGTATCTCATAAGCCTCGGACACTGGTCATTTCGTGATAATAAGATTAATTAACAAGCATTTACATATTTTCAAAACATAAACATCTCGATAATTAATGTAATTGTAAGATGAACAGCAAATCTTAAATTAAAAGAGAAGCAGTATTGATCAACATTTTCATTAATGATTACTAGTCCATATCTAATCAGGTGGGCTTTTACGAAGACCGCTTCATGTTTAGTATGAGACTCTCATAGCTGAACTTGTTGAGCATCCAGCGTCCTTCAAGAAATTCACTTTAATTGGACCTGATGTGTCTCAGGGTTCGGACGCGATTAGGCTGAATCCTCTCCGCCAAAATCATTGAACTTTGCAATTCGTTTTCTAGGTGTTCTTTTCTTTTGAGACATTTTGAAAATGAGCAAGCAAGAGGTTGTGGACGGATGTATTAGGTCCGTATAGATCCGTGGTAATTCGTTCTACTTCCTATCAATACGTTCTTCTCCGTATCAGACCGTACTTATTCGTACTAACCCGTGCTTATACCGTAGCAGACCGTAGTGTATCCGTAGTGCGTCCGTCCTGATTCGTGGCGCTCCGTATCAAACCGTGTCGGTCCGTTACAATCCGTGTCTCTCCGGGGGCTTTTGGTGGTAAATCCGTCGGACTCCGTTCTCATACCATTGTGTGTCCGTACTGGGACCGTAGCAGACTACGGAATATCACATTTCCGTAGTAATCCGTGATCGATTAGATCGTAGCTCTTCCGTGGCATTATCCGTGAATATGTGGCATTAACCGTGAATATGTGACCGGGGCATTACAGGCTGGAGAACAGAAACAAATAATTGCAATGGCTGTAAAGAAAATGTGCGTACAAATTCATTATTAAGTAGCATTTAAAATGAAAGAAATAGTTGGTAAAGATAGTCATTTACTAATTGTTTCCTTCTCATTTGTTATGATTATAGAATACTTACCAAATTATGATTTCACGCGTTTAACGTTAATTTAACCGTGAATTCTCTTTAACATACATAATAATTATGTGGTATTACACATAGGTAAAATATTCGTACATAAAATAAAATAAAAAAGATTTTTATTTGAAATTTTGTCATTATTATTTTTGATTTTATTGCTATTTTTTGAATTCAAAAATAGAAAGTCGATTATAAATATTATTTAAAAAAAAATCTGTTGAAGAAAAATCTTAGGCCAAACAAATAATTCTCTTTCTGGTCTATGTTGTGATAGTGTAAGGCCAAACAAATAATTATGTTTCTGGTCTATGATTTTGATATTATAAGGTCAAAATAGTGTTATATTCCTTGTTTTTGATATCCGAAACCCTACCTAAAAAGAGAAAAAGTACATATGAAAGTCTGCCTTCAAATATTTTTTATACAATTTTTAGAAATATATAAAGAAACGTGTTTAATAAAATCTGAAAGGCAAAAAATTCTAGTGTTTGTATCAAAAGAGCGTTACTTCCACGGTCTATAACAAAGAAGAAGAAAAAGAAAATCTTTCAAATGACTAAAGTAATCAATTATACTAGCCGAAATAATTGTGAAAGTTATAATTAAACAATTTATAAATCAGTTTTATACATAAGATATTACTCTTTTTTTTTCTTGTATACATATTTTTCTTAACATAAAAGTTTAAAAACATAATGAAAGATAAATAAATACCAAGTGAACATTTTCTTATTTACATTTCTTCAAAGGAAGAGGATTTTATTTGTTATAACTATCCATTATAGATACGTCTAGTGTAGTATATTTCAGTTATGACAGTACATACATTGTTTAATATTCTAAAATGTATATCCAATTTTCACAATTATGGAACCATTGATTTTTAACTCCATCTACGTATGACGCATTATATGAGCCGTGTCACGACAGAACCAACATAATGGGTTTGCGACCAGCATGGATCCAGATCAGCCTGCGCATCCGCGCAGTCTGATCAGGATACATGCTGTTCCCTTACAAACCCTATAACAAGAAGAGAAACTGATAGCGAACAGCATGGATCCTGATCAGACTGCGCGGATGCGCAGGCTGATCTGGATCCATGCTGGTCGCAAACCCATGGTCTGTAGAGTTCCAATTTCCGCAATATAATATTCGATTTTCAAGTCTACAAATAATTTGAACATCGATTAAATTCGCAGATGTTTGCATTAAATAATGTTCTCTTTTGTTACAGTGCAACGGGGTGACATTGAACCGAAAATATACTTAATATTTAAATCACGAATAATAAAATGTAGGAATTTTCATATTTAAGTGGTAAATTGTCTATTATTGGATTTCAAATTTATGATATCTTCAAAGCATGACCATTCACTTTTTTTCTAGATAATATTTTAAATATTGATAACGCATCATCGTTTCTTAAGTGCAGACATAAATGAACTCTTATGTAACGCACGTTCCTTCATTGTATTATACAGCTATTATAAATGATATATTTTTATCTTACCGATCAAAACTACTTTGTACGGCTGAATTAACATTGCTTTAATTTGCATATATTATATTTAAAAAAAGCTACGCCCCACACAGAAAGCGTTGAAATAAAAGAGCTTTTTCTGAATGCATAACCATATTGCGTAAAGATCCAAATCTGAACGGTTAATTATATTTAATATCTGCAGAGTTTCCAAGATAGACAAGATAGTATTAACAATCAATATATTTCATTACAGTTCTCGATCAAACACAAAGGCCCACAATTAATCAATCATCTAAATTTTCAAATTACAAATCTCGCGAGATTTCCATTTCCAACAGTCTTTCATCTAGTTATTTTTTCTCTTTACAAAGTGTATCAATTTCTAGGACAAAATACCCAGTATCAATCATTATTTCATCTTTTTATACCGAAATGAAATCTCGTCTCACGAGAGTCCATCGCGGTCTTTTTTCCCGCTCCATAGAAACGTACTTTGTAATATTTAGCTCTGTACCCTAACCAAACGTCCTGGACACATGTGTCGGTACAGACAAACAGTAATTTGTCGGCGGCGCTTTGATACAAACCATTGTGCGACCATCAAAAGTAATTTACGTCGATTCAAAATGCAATTAATATAGACACGTTCCTTTGGGAATATCTGGCTAAAACAAGCCCACGGAATTATGAATAAAACGTGATGAGGATTCTCCATAGTGAGAGGAAATCAAAAACTTTTTCCAATATCATAGAATAAAAATATGTGATGTCTTGTTCTCAAATTTGCAACAGTATTGTTTTTCATCATAGGCTTGGCGTTATATAAACGTTTTTGTTATTATTGAGCGGAGCCGGAATGGGTTCTTCGTGAACTACTAATTTTCGTCTTCATGAATTATAGATGCTTTAAGAGAGGTGAAGATGTGTACGAGACAAATGAAGTATGAATAGTACAATAATTGTCATCACAGAAAATGTCCGCACCATTATAAATTATTATCTTTTTAACTGCTTCTTTAATTGTTTAAAAACTTTCGTGCACGTAAAGTGTTACCAATTACATTACTATATTTACTTTGCATTTATTTTGACATACAACGCACTTCTAATAGCTTATTTAATATTTTTACGACGTGATTTACATGAAAATATGACAGATATAAGCTATTTGCCTCCCTTAGATGATACACACGATTTTTCAGATTAATTTGAGTTTTACCATGTATTTGGAACACTGAAATAATGTAAGCAAAATGACAGTATGTCAGGTAAACGCTGTAAAAATTAAAAATACTATTAATACATTTAACTGAAGTTTACAATACTAAAATTTGCATACAGAACATGTTCTTATTTCAATTCATTTTAAATGCGAGTTGCGTTTTCCAAGAAGTAATGGAAATAAGAAAGAAAAAAAAAACGTTTTCGAAAAGAAACAAAATACCGCGTCTTACTTTTTTAACAAATTCAAAATGTGTATGTTTTCAAGTGCATAAACAATAAATTCGAAAATTAAAATGTATTCCAAACTTGTATGATGATACGAGGGGTTATTTGAATACCTTATTTTACATTAAACGTGTATTTGTGACCTTGATGTTAATTTATGATTCTCACAACCCGGTCAACCTACTGGATTCCATTGTATATTTACTCATAAGGCACCAGTACTGGCTAGTACTAGTTCTGGTAAGCCTACTAGGCAGTGTTCTAAATAATTGAGCCGTGTCACGACAAAACCAACATAATGGGTTTGCGACCAGCATGGATCCAGACCAGCCTGCGCAGTCTGATCAGGATCCATGCTGTTCGCTATCAGTTTCTCTACTTGTGATAGGGTTTGTAAGCGAACAGCATGGATCCTGATCAGACTGCGCGGATGCGCAGGCTGGTCTGGATCCATGCTGGTCGCAAACCCATTATGTTGGTTTTTTCATGACACGGCTCATATATTCAATATGTTTTCACAATAATGTTACAACATATATAATTCAAAATGTAGGTGGCCATACTTATTTTCATAGCTAATCAAATCACCATCATTTTGTTATCTTTTTCCGTGTTTTAACAAAACAATACATTAGTTATTATTTAAAAAAAAAAGAATGTCCAAAATGTTTGCACTCGCTTGATTTATTAACCATAATAGTCAGTATACCTTACATAAGATGGAGTGTCAAAAGAATCTTCAAAAATAAAATCAATTTATATGTCAATTAGAACCTCTTGTTGCACGCTTTTGTCCGATATTCTGTCTCCACCATACAAACTCAACTTTATTTATACTGTCCCATAGCTGGTTCCCTTGGGTGAACAAGTGTGCTCAATGTTTAATGAACTAATGTTACAATAATTATATCAATATTTACAACAAATGGTCAATTTGGTTATAAGCCATCATTGCGTCTCTTTCCCATTGATCGGCGCTGACTGTTTGTGTAAAGGCGGTAAAATAATAGATGCTGGTACCAAATCAAGTAAAGTCACGGATATATCTTCTAGAGATAGTTTCGTATTTTAGAAAGTAGCGGACGCGTTTTAATAATAGAACACATATTGTATTTGTACGAACAAAATTGCAAAAGTATTCTTACATGATAGGATGTATGTATATATTGTCTAGTCGTGTGGATGTTATTTCGAAATATATTTCCCACGGATAGTTCGTATATAAAATAAAACAATTTGATTGGACCATTAATAACTGAACGATCTTTATATGTTAGCGCAGGCTAGTTTTTGGATAAAATAGTTGGTGAAAACGAAATATTGATAGCCTTTCAATAAAGGAGATTTTTTTGGTTTAATAATACGAAGTGAAATAAACGGTTATTTATTTGTTTTACGGGAGATATCTATTAAAATAAAACACTTATGCAAAAGACGCGGACGAACTAACTTTTGGATATCTTAAACTCTAAGGTAAGTCAATGATTTATACGGTATTTACATAGCATTTATTCATAAAGATCTGAATATGTCAAATTGAAATATTGAAGAAATGATGCTATGTAAGTTGATTAATATTTGAAACATCTTGAAAGCTATATATGAAAAAAAAAGAAAATACTTTTTGAATAAAGAAATGGTACAGATCATTGAAAATAATTATCTTTAGATAAAACAAAAAGTCATGACATAGGAACATCTAATAAAAATAATATTCAGTGAAGGGAAGTTTACATATTGCGGAACTCTAAAAAAAAATTAAAAAAATGAAAACATATGTAAATTATCCGTTTTAATATAAAACAATAAGTTGTGACAAAGTTTTAATGCATAGGATTTCACAATGCATTCGTATCATAATATTTTATTTTTAGAAAAGTTGTATTCAACACCACTTAAACTTCATTTATTATTCATTTCAACAGGAATTTGTTATATTATATATAAATAATCAATACGAATCTTTCAGGTTTTAAAAGAGATAAAAAGCTATTGTTTTGTTTTTTTGTAAATGGTAGGTTATAGGGATACAGAAATTTAATAAATAATTCAGTTACTTTATCACATTCAATTATGTCAGAAAGTCATGAAAACCTTTTAGATGTACAAATATTTACCATTGTTTCAACAATGAGACCAAACAATTGAAGTAAAGATTTTCTAATCAAGTATCAACCGTTTAAAATATATCGATACATACATGAAGTGCACTCAAAAAGTTTCTAAAAACATCAGACAAGCATGGACAATTAATATATAAAACAATAACGAATAAAACATATCAGTGGATTCATGTGCTACATGTAACATACATGGATTAATTCGTGCAAGCACTAAACAACAAACACTAAACAAAATGTTTATTAAAGGTCCATTTAAACCCTGAAAAAAATGCTATCATTTTTCTCTCTCAAATACTTTTCATTTTTAGTATTCTTTTACATTTTCCAAAAAAATATCCATAGGCTATATAGATTAACCACTAGTATCTTTTGCTTCGTTTCTTTTAATTATATTGAGTTATAATTTAATAAAGAAGTCAAAATGGTACTTTGTTAATATTTTGCTCACTTTAATACTCATAAATGAACATTCAACACTACTTTCTGCCGTTTCAACACCTAAGACGCTCTAAATTCGTTATCAAAATATTATAAAACATATCAGCCTTTTCTAAAGAATAAAAAAATATTTCTGAGGCATAATGTGCATTTAAATGATAAAATTGCTGTCTATGAAAATGATTTCAAAAATTGGCTTTGTTAATTAACAAACTGACAGAATTCGCCGAATGATACGTAGTCGATATATTTATATACATTACACTATATGTCAAGAATGTCTAATTGGAATTCTTTATATTGATAAATTGACCGCGGAAAAATTGGGAGAAAGTTGATCAAATTTGCTTGTACATTTATCATATAGCTACTATTATTAGTTTAAGACGACCCGAAAGATATTTCAACATTATATGTACAAAGCGGGAACGAAACTCCAAAGCGATGTAAAATTTTAATCTTATAAACATGCCTTTAAGGTATAAATCAAAGGTGCCTTCAAACGCATAAAAGCTCCTAGGAAATGAACAAATATTGAATACTTTGGGAAAAGCTATAATATGAAAATAAGACATGCTATGCCTCCGAATGATGTGTACAAAAATTCAGGATCAGAAATGTGCACGAGAAATTTCCAGTGTCAAATTAATCACGTGATCTTGTGAAAGTGCATTGTAGGACATCTAAACATGTGATATATTGCCGCCGGACTTTGTATGGCTTTGATACCGCTATTAATAACTGATAATTGTCGATATTGGGTATAATGCTTACAAATATCATGATATGTCGTTCTCATTGCTGGCATTTTCTTGTCTGTCTACTTGTGGCTGACTGCGGATTCTAAATTTGCAATTATTGAAAAAATGCACACCGTTTTGTTGCGAATTTTCCACTTAAATGGAATTTAATACTGGTGCTGGAATTAGTTTGGAGGACTTCAAAAGGAAAATTGTTTCTCTACGGTACGTACTAGTAAATGTTACGTTCTCTTATTGAACGCTTGGCCTTTAATATATTGTTTTAATATAATTCTATAATATTTAGCTCTGTTGTACAATATTTCTAATCAAATATTCATGCAGAACATTGTCAAGTTAAGTGTTGTAAATGTCAGAAGCAAATTAGAGAAAAATGTGAATGTAGTATCAACAGATAATGCGTTCTAAATTATCACTTGAAAACAGTAGACTATAACAGTGAAAAGTTTACTTGGAGGATGCCGCCTTTAAATGTACGTTTGTGTTTTGAAAAGGTGCTTAATTCAGATAAGATATGTTTTGTTTAAAGGATGTTATCACAGGTAAGCATGCATGTCTTATCATTTTGAGATACGGGATTGATAAACTACGGAACTTTGAGTATCTTCATCTATTATATAAAGATATGTGTTTAAAATGTTAAACCTTGCCTCTTGGTGCAATCTTAATTGACTACTAGCTATTTTGGCAAAGTTTGTATTTATTTTAATACAAAGATGTACAAAATAACGCGCGTTTTATCCTAAAAATGCAATCATGGATCTTGCACGTGTTTCCCGTGCCTTGATTATTTGAAGCGGAAGCACGATTATCAACTGCAACTGGTTTCCCCTAAACTGATAGTCATTGATACACGATTAAAAATGTTTTTCTAAAAAGATAATTAAATATATGAGATAGCGGGAACATTCAGGCAAAATTTAAAAAAAAAAGGCATTTTATTCAACTACAAGTAGTTATGGTTATCCACTGATGCAAACAATTCCAAATGATTGATTTCTGTCTATTTAAACATTAAGGTTACACATACCTGAAAGGTAGACTGTAAAAATATTTGTTTTGTAGGCGGAGTTGTAACAGAAATTCAAAATGCCAGTATTGAAACAGTTACTCTCGAAATTACTTAACTGCATTAAGTGTAGGTTTATTTTCATAATACTTTTCTTTCAGAATTACAACTAAAGGTGAAAAGTGAAAATAATAACGTATGTGAAGCATTGGCGTGTTTGATCGGGTAGTATTTTTATTTCTTGGCTTGAACAGGTCAAAAATAAATATCGTTTTACCTCATAATAAACGTTTAGTATTGCATGACGTCATAGATTTCCAATCCGTAATGAATATGGTAACACCACGTTTCACGTCACGACAATTCCATCCGGTACTCCCGCGCATACCGGGTTTTTGTAGATTTGTAATGTATTATATCCGAGGTGTCGATTTTGAATATTGATTTGTTTGGTATGGTTAAATAATTTTCATATCCTTTTGCAGGTGATAGGACAAAATGTTCACCATAGACAAGATACTGTCAACCTCAGCTTACGCCTCGGTTGAGATAACTTGTCTAAGATTAACATTGTGTTATGTCACCCTCAGCGGGATGTGATATTGATATAATTGCAATTCATCACGACTACATTAATTTATAAAGAGAAACATACGTTATGTGATTGATACATATCGCCTGTACTATTGCTACGATAAGACTTTTAACTATTCTTAGATAAATTCATACCGGTAATTTATTTAACAAATATAAAAGCATAAATGTCGCACGGCTTAATAATCTAGTGTTTACAGGTTGAATTTAGATAATCCATTGAGAAACGGTAAAGTCGAAAGGTTCAAAAAGACATATTTAACACATTCCTATATTCGCACAACCTTTAAAATTGAAAGGAAAACAGGAACATTTTTCTCAGTATGACTTAACCAACATCACGAAGCTTAGCATGTTTTATAATTACAATAATGATCATAACGTGCATCTGTTTGTAAACAAAATGCTCAGCTAACCATACACGTTGCAACCGGTACCGTACGTCAATATGAACAAGTTTCAATTAAAATGCATTCTCTTATCTAAACTGCTGCGCATGTCAGACACTATCTCATGAGATAAAAAACAAGCAAACACACACCTTAAAATGGGGGAGTCAATTAACTGGGTAATAAGAAATTTCATATCTGTTTGTTTTAACAAAATAGTTATGTGCAAAGAGAAGATGATATAAAAACTGTTGATGCTTTAAAGCATACAATGTTTTGAATACTAGTATGTAAAGTCTTGAACATACTACAATATATTATAATATACCCAAGCTATAATCTACAGGTGCTAAGTTACTTTGTGTCTTAATCAAGGGATCATGAGTTCGAACCATACTGGTATCAAGACACCAGGGTCAAAGCATATAAAGAAATTCTCAAAGTTAACTCAGATCTCGAATATTTATTTGGCCAGAAACTGCCACAGAATGTATACTAGACCACTGCATATCATTAGATGTGAGAAAAAAGTATATATAAATTTGAGGTCTATAGTAAGTGGTACCTTTCAGGTAGTGGACTCAAGAGTGGTTTGAATGAGCTCCAAGCTTTCACCACAGTCGAGCTAAAAGTAACACTAATTAAAACTAATACATTCGTGAACAATTAAATGTTTGAAATTGAAAATGTTAACAAATGAATTATATTCATTCAATTCGTAAAGTATAGGAGTTGGAATGGAGATATAGAGGATATTTGTTTAGTTCAGTGTAAGATCGGAATATATTTCACCGAGTGAGCATCAAAAGTTATATTTCACGAGTGGCGCAGCCACGAGTGAAATATGAACTTTTGGTGTTCACAAGGTGATATATATTTCGATTTTGCACTACACTAAACAAATTTTCTTTTTATTACATGCAAAGAAACGTTTTAAAAAGACTTTTAACCTAATACTGAGTAAAAATCGCGCCAAATGATAATACAACGTGACGTCATTTACGACGTCACGTCATTAAGTTGGTACCCAGTACTGTGCACGCTGGTATTTCACTGAAACAACGTAAGGGGCTTAAATTCAAAACAGTGAAATTACCAAAGTGGTAATTTCACTGTTTCAAACAGTGAAATTACCCGTTTTATATCACTGATATATTTC